ACTCACCAGGGAACCAAGAGGGTTCGTAAGTGTTCGTTTTTCTCGATCTAGCTTTTGCAACAATTTAAAAAAGAGTAATGTTATAAGCTAAAAACAAGTATGTACATTTTGAGTCATTTTAGCGTTAGACAAATATAGACATGATATTAGTGACAGATCATACACATCTTATTGAATAATAATAATAATAAAAGCAAGTAAAAGGGATTTGAAATGGTCAAGGACAACATGTACTCGACAAACATGATCGAGATATCCGATATAAAGTCATAGGCAATACGCTTTGGACAAGAAGGATGATCAATAATTCAAACATTAATTAAAGGACATGTTAATCAAACGTATGAAAACGTCGACGTATCGATGAGCGGGAAGGAAGTGATAAAGGGGAAGGGGGGAGAAATGAGAAGGAAAGAGGGGACACGTGGAGGGATGGAATTGGGGGAGAGGGATGACAGGTGGAGGGGAATGAGAGGAGGAAAGGAAGGCGTTGGAGTGGAGGAGTGCATGTGGGATGACAGAAGGAGATGGAAGTGGGGCCCAGAATCAATGATAGCAGAGATGCCAGCCTGGCATCAATCACTTTGACACAACCACATCACCCAACAAACAAACCCAAACACACTAACGAATAACCCCAAAAAAAAAAACATCTTCTTCCTCCACACCTTTAATTACTATGTCTTTTAATTTATTTATTATTTTTACTATAACTCAAAAAATCAATAAATTTCATAAGAAAATAAATATATAATAATTAACCAATTTATTTTATGTTAAGCGGGTAGAAATGAAAATAAAGATTATAACTCATTTTCGATCTCATTTATCTAATAGAGAAAAAATGTTTCTCTCTTCCTCCCCGATTCTCCATCTAAATCGAAAACCCTCTCCTCGTTGGAGTGGGTCCCACAAAACTCTGGTGGCTTTATAAGTAAAACGAATATTTTATTCATTGTACGTCTTCTCATGTTTTTTATTATCAACTATTTATCGTTGTTTAAGAATGATGGGAAGATTAACAATTTTAGAATAAATTTACAAAAAATTAAATAAAAATATAAAATATATTTGCATCAATCAATGGTGGGTTGACAAAATGATGGATAAGGAGGAACATATTCTTATGACTATTAATATTTTTATAAAAAGAAAATAAAATTTATTTTAATAAAGAAAATATATTTACTAGGAACAAAATACCTTAGCTTAAATACGTAAATAATAAAATAAAATATTCCAAATAATTAAAGAGGGAATTGAAATTTGGAGTGAATTATTTTTTGTATTATTTGTTGTCCGTATTTGGGCTCCATTCCAATGTCTCTTTCTGAATTTTTTTTTTATTATTTTTTTTAAATTATATATATATATATATTTTTTTTTTTACTTAATTCTAAAAGTAGCCAGCTAAGTGAAGCTCATACCCACCTAATTATATTTAATTTTTTCCCCATTTTTTTTAATTAATGAGGTCAGTCCAAGTGATTAATTTAATTAATCCCAAATTAACCCTCTTTTTTATATTTTGAATAAAATTATTTTATTTATATTTTATTCTTTAGAGCGGCGGAATGTTGAAATTTTAGAAAAATATGAAGAAAAAAAAAAGGTTTTGTCCGCCGGAAAGTTAGACCGTTACGATCCCGATGTGCGGCGGCGGCGGCGGCGGCGGTGGGTCACTGATGACTCAGGTCACAGGCTGTCAAACACCTCAGCACATGCACAATTATGAATGCTCTTTTTTTTTTTTTTTTTTTTTTTTT